CCTCCTAGTCTCTCTTTCTCACTTTTATTTTTTTTTCTCTCTCTCTCTCTCTCTCTCATCGTTTCTCGTAATTTCTGGGGGTACTACTCACAGGATCTCTGGGGGGGCAGCTACAACAACCCCTCTTGACCTTACTTGACCTCTGGGGTGTTGGCTAAGATAAACGGAAGTGGGTTGCCTCCTTAAGTCGGGAAGGTCATGGGCGTTCTCTCTCTCTCTCTCTCTCTCTCTCTCTCTCTAATCTTCTTCCAACAGTAGTGGAAGATCTGTTTTATGTATGTATGTATGTATAATCTTGTATAAGTGTTGTACAGTATTTACTAATATACATACAAAATACAATATTAACCTTGTGAACATACATACATACATACATACATACATACATACATACATACATACATACATACATACATACATGATACATACATACATACATACATACATACATACATACATACATACATACATAGGTACCAAAAGTGAAGGTGGACTGGCATTTCACAGAACTCGGTAAGTTAACAGAGGGAGGCTGTTGAGGGAGGGGGGTATGAAGAGGGTAGAGAGGGGGAGAGAGGGAGGGGAGAGGAAGGGGAGAAAGAGAAGGGGAAAGGAGGAAGGAGGGAAGTAGTTCTTAAGTTCGAATTTTTAGTTTTTTTTGATGATCAATTTTTTTTTTTGCCCATTGAAGAGTCACGTCTCACGTGTGTGTTGTGTGGTGTGGTGTTGTGTGGTGTTGTGTGGTGTTGTGTGGTGTTGTGTGGTGTCGTGTGGTGTTGTACTGAGACTCTTGACCTAAGGAAACTAATTGGAATCCCACAGAACTGTATTGGGATTTCTTCTTCCTCCTCCTCTTCTGCTCCTCCGTCGCCCCCTCCTGCCTTCTCTCCTACTTACCTTTCTTTTCCTTCTTTACACTCCTCCTCCTCTGCTTGTACATATTATCCTCCTATTCTCTCCCTCCTACACCTTTATTCTCCTTCCTTCCTTCCTTCCTTCCTTCCTCTTCCCTTCTCATATCCTCTTCTACCACCAGCACCTCCTCTTTCTCACCCTCCTTCCCCCTCCCCATCCCATCCCCTCCCCTCCTCCTCATCCTCTTCCAGCTACTAAGATGAAAAAGAATTACAAAATACAGACAGACTGAAAAAATATGCACATAACCAACAACTTTATGATCATTTCGAGAATCTGGTCAGTTCATTACATATAGTGAGCCTGTTGTTGTCAGCGGAACACTCTACACACACACACCCTCTTACCCTCCCTTCCCTTCCCTCCCTCCTTCCTTCCCTCCCTCTGACAGACGCCTTTGAAGGGTGGTATTGTGGCACCCTCTACACTGGCACTCTAATCATGGCACTACTACTGGGGTTTGAGAGGTGCCACAAACAAGTGCCCTTTTTTCGATCCTACTAAGGTAATGCTGGGCACGTTTTACCTCCTCTATCCCCACCACTCCCCACACCTCTCCCCTCTCCTTACCCATCCCTCTCCCCTCTCCTTACCCATCCCTCTCCCCACCCCTCTCCCCTCTCCCCAGAATCCTTAATGATGCTGAACACACTTCCATCTCATCTAATGACTGAGAACAAACTCTAGGTCCTTATCTCTGACATAGAACACACTCTAGTTCCTTATCTCTGACATAGAACACACTTTAGGTCCTTATCTCTGACACAGAACACACTTTAGGTCCTTATTTATATTATAGAACGCACTTTCTCTCTTCACTAAGTACACACAACACACTTTAACCTTCTCCAATGGTACATACTGGTACTTGGGAGTCCTATATTGTTACCTTATATTCCTATTATGTCTCTCGCTGTCTCTGTCTCTCTCTTTTCTCTCTATCTCTCTCTGTTGTTCTCTTTCTCTCTATTTCTCTATATACAGTATTTTTTGTATATATATATATATATATATATATATATATATATATATATATATATATATATATATATATATATATATATATATATATATATATATATATATATATATATATATATATATCCTATCCATCCATCACTCTCTCTCTCTCTCCGTACAATAACAAGATGGTGAACATGATACACTTAACGAAGGAACACCAAGTAACGAGTTGATATATCATGTTAACACTACTATAGCTTTGAACAACAAGTAATTCGTAGATATCTAATTAAGTCGAGATGTTGTTTTTGCGAAGGTTATTACTGATAGTTGTAGGTTATGAAACAGTTGTGAGAGAGAGAGAGAGAGAGAGAGAGAGAGAGAGAGAGAGAGAGAGAGAGTTTTCCTGTTAATAAAATACATGAGCTCGTGTAATATCGTCTTTCAGCAGGATACATAGGCGTGATATCGTGAATGTTACTAACACATAACACATCATGCCTTCAGTGGACTCGACAGGAAAGTCAATAACAGGATTTGGGGCATTAGTATTTTAACCCTTTGAATCCTGGAGTCTTAAGTTATCGTCCTCAAAGGGTAAAATATCGTCCTCAAAGGGTTAAAACACCATCCTCAAAGGGTTAAATTATCCTCAAAGGGTAAAATATCGTCCTCAAAGGGTTAAAACACCATCCTCAAAGGGTTAAATTATCCTCAAAGGGTTAAAACACCATCCTCAAAGGGTTAAATTATCCTCAAAGGGTTAAAATATCGTCGTCAAAGGGCTAAACCACCATCCTCAAAGGGTTAAATTATCCTCAAAGGGTTAAAACACCATCCTCAAAGGGTTAAATTATCCTCAAAGGGTTAAAATATCGTCCTCAAAGGGTTAAAACACCATTCTCAAAGGGCTAAATTATCCTCAAAGGGTTAAAATATCGTCCTCAAAGGGCTAAACCACCATCCTCAAAAGGTTACATAATTATTTCGAGCCGTAGAGTATACACAATATGCCACAGTGTGTACCTGGCCTGACGACCTCTAAAGATTACCTGGTTGTTTGTCTACGGGGTGAGGAAGGTCGTGGAGTGGAGTACCTGCGTCATTAAGGTGGTTGAGTGGTGTACCTGCGTCATTAAGTTGATAGTGCTTATGGTGCCACTATGTAGAAACACTTCACACCAGGATATTGAGACACCCACACCCTCTCTCCCTCTCTCTCTCTCTCAGTCTCTCTCTGTCTCTCTCTTAGTCTCTCTGTCTCTCTTAAGCTCTCTCTGTTTGTCTTTGTCCTTCATTCTTTCTTCTTTCCAAACTCCTACTAATCTTCCCTCCCTCCCTCCCTCCCTCCGTCCCTCCCTCCCTCTCTCCCTCCCTCCCTTCCTCCTCCCTCCTCCTTCCTTCCCCTCTCCTCCCTCCTCCTCCTTTCCTCCCTCCCTCCCTCCTCTTTTTCTTCCCTCTCTCCCTCCTCCTCCTCCTTCCCTCCCTCGCCCTCCTCCTCCCCTCCTCCTCCTCCCTCCCTCCTCCCTCCCTCCCTCCTTCCTTCCTCTCTCCTCCCTCCTCCTTCTTCCCTCTCTTTCCTCCTCCTTCCCTCCCTCCCCTCCTTCCTTCCTCTCTCTCTCCCTCCCTCCCTCCCTCCTCTCTCCCTCCCTCCTCCCTCCCTCCCCTCCTTCTCCCTCCCTCCTCCCTCCTTCCTCCCTCCCTCCTTCCTTCCCTCTCTCCTCCCCTCTCTCCCTCCCTCCTCCTCCCCTCACTCCCTCCCTCCCTCCCTCCCCTCCTCCTTCCTTCTCTCTCCCTCCCTCCCTCCCTCCCTCCTTCCTCCTTCATTCCTTCCCTCCCTTCCTCCCTCCCTCATCCCTCCTCCTCCTCCCTCCCTCCCCTCACTCCTTTACCAGCCCTCAGCTCTCCATCTTTTTCCTCCTCCTTTTATTCTCTCATCCCTCTTCCCTGCTTCCTTCCCTCACATGCCTGTCTGCTTGTCTGCCTGTCTGCTTGTCTGCCTGTCTGTCTGCTTGTCTGCTTGTCTGTCTGTCTGTCTGTCTCTATACTAATCATCATCACCATGTTACTTCACAGTCAATTAGAAAAGGTAAAAAATTATCTTCCGACATATACGGCCATCTGAGAGGGTGAGGGGAGGGAGGTGAGGGGAAGGGGGTGAGGGGAAGGGGGTGAGGGGAAGGGGTGAGGGGAAGGGGGGTGGTTATAAGGTTACTAAGATCTAATATTATCCTGGTGACCAATGAAGGGAAGGTTTTATACAGTGACCTTTCTCTCACTTCCCTTCCCTCTTTCCCTCCCTCCCCTCCTCCCCTCTTTCCTTCCCTCCCCCCTCCCTCTCTCCTCAGTTAACCTCGTTAATCTGGTGTGTAGTGGACAAGCATCGAAAGGTCTTGATACTGTTTTGGTTTCATGTTGTTGTTGTTGTAATGTTGTTGTTATTGTTTTGTTGTTATTGTTTTGTTGTTATTGTTGTTTTTATTTTGTTGTGTTTTTGTTATATTTGTTATTATTGTTTTTGTCAGTGTTGTTGTTGTGTACTGTAGGTGTTGTAGTGTTGCTGTACTTGTTGGGTTGATGTTACTTAATTGTTACTCTTGGTGCTGTGTTACGTCTACTGTTACTTGTACACTATATTTAGCCTGACTGAAGGTGTGTGTGTGTGTGTGTGTGTGTGTGTGTGTTAACTCGTATCTAACTCACATAAGTTTGAAACAATAAAATCATAAAGACGAAATTGGCGTTAAAATTACATATAAACTAAACCTTAACTTAAAAAAAAAATCATCTTTTACGTCAAATAGTGAAAAAAAAACTTACGAACTTTTGAGAATCTATTTTTTTTGTCGTAAATTAAAAGAACATTAAGATACTATTTTAACACAACCTGGGAGACTATTATTTTACCTGAGGTTTTTTGTTTTTTAAGACTCTTAACTTTATGTCGTAACTTATAAGAGCTAGTTAAGGATACGTTATAGTTATTTTATCTTCCGACTGTTTTTGAGAATCCCGGGGTGGTGGTGAATCGAAACAGAGGTCTCAGTCAGCCAGCCAACCATCCCTTCCCCTCGTCCACCCAACCTCCTTTAGTCTCCTCCCCTCAGTTACCGACCAGACAGGGTTGGGTATACACGTCCCTTTCTCCGCTCTTCCTAACTGGTCGAACCGCATCCCTTTGAGTGGTGAAATTGCTTCTCCATTGAGTGTTTAAAACCACGCCTCCTGATTGGCTCAACAGTGGGTTTGGTTTTTAGTGGTAAATTGAAGTTTATTTTTTATTTTGGTGGAACCGTTTTGTGTTAATTGGTGGAATCGTAAAATTGAGAACTTGTGATTAGTGCAACTGCGGTTCCTTAGTTGGTAAGGCGATTCTTCTAATTAATGGAACCGTAAACTGAATCTCCCTCAGTAGGACCACAAACTGAGGCCCTTTGATTGGTGGAACCGTGAATTCTGTGGTAAAACAAACCGTATTATTGGTGGACGTACAAACTGAAAGCTTCTAATTGGTGGAACCGTGATTTTTCAGGTTATTCCGCTTCTCTGATTGGTGGAACTGCGGTTCTTGAGTGGCATATCAAGACTTTCTTATAAGTGAACCGCAGTTGCTGAGCGGTATAGGAGTTGCTGCGGTTATGGAGTAGAACCGCATTACTGATTTGTGGAACCTCGTCTAATAAGTGTTAGAACCGCGGTTGTTAACGAGTGGAACCATTCTTTCTAGTCTTAGTTGATAAAGTTGCCTTGTTATCAGTGGAACCGCGGTGCGTATATAATGGAACCAAAGCCCTCACTAATCGAACCGCGTATGTATTTAATGGCACAATCGGTTCGCCTTCTGGTAGAACCGTGTATTGTGCTTGATAGAACCAAAGAACCATCTCCTCTAACCTGTATATGTCAGGGTAGAACCGCGCCTGTCAATAAAGGACGGGCACCTGTAGAACCGCGGCTTGTTACTAATAAACCGACAAATGTAAGAACCGCACATTGGATCGAATAGAACCGTGACCTCAAATTACCAGAGCCGAGACTCCTAACAAGCCATGTAGTAGAACCCAAATTATCCAATTGATTAACTATTTAGAACCGGTAACTCTAATTGCTTAACTGGCAGAACCGCAATTTCCAACTAGTAGCTGATTAGAACCGCTATTTCTAAACGGTTAACCAGCAAGACGCATCTACTAACCTATGGAATCGCTAATACTAATTTTCAGAACTTCAATAGAACCAGATCTATCATAATGCTCTATTGATAGATTTTTTTGACCAATTTATATTATTATTATTATTATTATTATTATTATTATTATTTCAAACACCGACACACAATTATCTCTATGTATGTATATATGTATGTACGTATGTATGTATGTATGTATGTATGTATGTCTACACGTGCGGCTGGTGGTGATACACAGGATGTTGCAATAGCGGTTGATGTAATGTTGCAATTGGCTCAAAGTGCAACTACCACTACACCAGGACCTTGTGAGGCCTCTACCATAGCGAAGATGTCTAATATTGTATAGAAGATAAGATAGATATGGAGAGATAGAGGACTAGAGAGAGACAAACAGACTGATAGATAGATAGATTGACAGACAACAGCGTGATAATCCCTTAACTTCCAAGGGGGGTATAAAGGAAGTTAGTTATTTACGTTAAGTCTGTGTGTGTGTGTACAGTATGTATGTGTTAGCGTCCATGTGTTGAGAAACGTATATGCATATCACCTATAACCAAATAACCATCAATAAAATATCAATAGTAATAATATCAAGATACTACTCAGAAAAAAATAATAATATTAAACCCGAGTCACAAAATAACAAGACCTGAGCGTCAAATCCTACACGGAAACCACTGAGGCGCGAAGAGGCAAGAGACGACTATTTTATTTCTACTCTCCTTAGAAAAAATTTAACGTCAACAATATAAATAATCGCTGGGGGAAATATACACAAAAATATTAAATTAATAACCTCGAGGCTTTAATAATCGTTCGGAAATATTAAAAAAAAAGTTACGAATATATTTTTTAACTTTTTATTTTCGATTTTGAGGAAGAAATTTATATGAAAAAAAATATTTGAGATGATAAGATTTGATGTAGTGTTAAGAGATTTCACTTTGGTTCTGAGAGACGAAGTGTGTTAGTCTTTTGAAGAGATGAAAGATGTGTTGTGGAGTTGGGTAAATATATATGAATGGAGAAAAGGGGAGAGAAAGTGAGAGAGAGAGAAAGATAGATGGGAAAAGAAAGACACAGAGAGAAAGAGACGGAATAACACAAAAAAAAAGAGACCAATGATGTGAAATAGTTGACCAAAAGTTGAAAAGAATGGAGAGTTCATTAACCAAACCCGGAAATAATAGTTTACGGACAAATTATCGGAGACAAAATTTGTAAAAGGTTTTTGTAGTAGTAGTGGTAGTTGTTGTTGTTGTTGTTGTAGTAGTAGAATTAAATTAGGGTTTGTGTATGAAATCTCTCTCTCTCTCTCTCTCTCTCTCTCTCTCTCTCTCTCTCTCTCTCTCTCTCTCTCTCTCTCTCTCTCTCTCAATAACATCTCCGAAATAGAGTTTGTTCTGCTTGAGACAATAACATGACTTAAAGAACAGCCTCTTAAAAGACCGAGTGTTATAGAGAACAAAATAACTTTGTTATATTATAACTCACTGAAGGAAAGTAAGAACACTTCATTGTAGAGAACATGGAGAACAGAGTGAAGAGAACATAACGCATTCATAATAACAATTGTGTGAACATATTCGGAATGATTTGAACAAAAAAAGAAAGCAATGTACAGTTAAGAACTTTTTCATTACTTACAGAAAACTTTAAAGAACAACCGTAAGAACAAGTGTAAGAGAACAATAGTGAACAGAATCGTGATGAACAAATGTGAACAATTTTAACAATACACCAATACTGCAGAAAAAAAATTGAAGAAAAAACTTAAAGAACAGAACATTTGAACCAGTGTTCTTGTTCATCATCACCACCTCCCTCCCCCACAGAAGAACAGGGTCATTACGCCATCCTTACATCCTTCTACGCCAAGTTACGGGGAGTCCTACGTAGATTGATGAGTCCTGAAGGCAAATTGATCAAAGGATTGACTGGAAGGATGTAAGTGGCTGTCTACTGAGAACATTTTATTTACAGTCGGTGAGTAGAATTTTGTGTTGTGGTGGTGGTAGTGGTAGTAGTGGTAGTAGTAGTAGTGGTAGTAGTAGTAGTAATTGTTATTGTATTATTATTATTAGTATTAATAGTAGTAGTATTATTGAAATTTGTGAATGACTGGTATGTCTGTCTGTCTGTCTGTCTGTGTCTGTCTGTCTGTCTGTCTGTCTGTCTGTCTGTCTCCGTTTATGTGGTTTAACAGATTAGACAAAATCCTGTATACAACGAAGGCAGGTTAAAGAAAACACACACACACACACACACACACACACACACTTGCCGACTCCTTCCTCTTTCTCCTCCTCCCCCTCCTCTTCCTTCCCCTCTTCCTCCCCCTCTTCCTCCTTCCCCTCTTCCTCCACTTCACACTTCAAACATCCCCAGTGAGTTGAAGTTGTGTGTATGTGTGTGGTTACTCCGGGTGTTTGTGTGTGCTTGTATGTGTGTTTGTGTGTGTTCTGTAAAATAGCGACTTGTCCTCCTATGCTTGTTTACACTCCGTACTAATATGAATGACACTGTGTTTGTATATGTTTGTGTGTGTGTGTGTGTGTGTGTGTGTGTGTGTGTCGGCTGATAACTCCATTTGTACAGTGACGTCACCTGTTTTATTTATTTATTTATTATTGTTGTTGTTGTTGTTGTGTTGATTCGTAATGTGAATCTTTACCTGTGATTGGAGATATAAGATTAATTATATAACTGCCTCTCTTAACCAATCAATCCAATATGGCGTCTGAAGTACACTGAGACTTTACTATTATTTCTTATGAATGGAGGATAACAGGACGAAATGGCGGCGAATTAACGGGATAATAAGACTCACAATATGGCGTCAAAACTGCTCAGAGACTAGAGTTAAGGTGGAAGAAATTAGTGTTTTATGAATCGGGGGAAATTTACCTGAGTCCCACTACCTGTGTATACCTTAGTCTAGCTCCAGAAACACTCGTAAGATAATTTCTACGTCACCACGGGCAACCACCATCGCCTGGCTATCAAAAACATCCATAAGGACGCTCCGCCAGACGATCGGCCTCTCACCTACAGCCAACACCAAATTCTACACTGTCTCTGCGGTACCTGAAGGCGATCCATACGTGCCTCTAACAACTGAATCATTTATTACTATAATTAAGATGATCTGACCCTTAATTGTTGTACTGTAGACTATCCGAACCTTCATTAGTGTATAGACGACAAAGGATGATCGATTGCAGTAAATAATTGCATTTTTCCGTCAACCACAAAGGATTTAACACCACAATCCTCTACTATAGACGATATAATCCTCTGTATGTATAGATTATATAACCCTACTATAGATGATTTAACTCTTTATTGGCCAATTATCGATAATATTGAGGCGGGTTTCATCTTTCTGCTGGGGCGGAGGTCGGTGTTGTGTCCGTTAACGTGTCTGTCAGTTCGTCACACACGCGTAAACTCGGATATAATAATAATAATAATATTCTCTTACGGGTGACTTAACCTTAAAATTATAAACGATTTAATTCCACATCGTAAACGACTCCACTTACTATCATAGACGATATAACCTAAACTATAGACGATTTAAGCCTCAGTTGGTTTACTATTAGCGATTTAACTTACCGCTGCTCTTTTTTTTTTTTTACAGACGATTTGATCCTCAGTTATAGGTGATTTAACCCTCTAATACGATAAACTGCGAGTGTTTTATCCCCAATTTCACCGACTGTGGGGCATTTACCGCGTGGGAGAGACTAACCTAACCCCTGTCTTGAAAATGCTGACCAACTCCACTAATTTGAAGCCACCTCTGCTCTCACGGTTGGAGTCGACCAATCAGGGGCTATTTGGAGGTCGTGCTGTTACTACGACCAATCAACGACCACCTCCGATATCACTATGGGAATTCGACCAATCAATGGGCCACTTTTGATCCCGCAAGCTAATAATTTGGCCAATCAACAGCGTGTATCTCGTGGAGTGGAAAAGGGGACGGGGATGATGAGGGTAGTGGGGGAGGGGTTGAGGAGGGTAGGGGTAGGGGTTGAGGGGGAGGGGTTAATATTAAAAATAAAATATCTCTTTTCTCTCTCTCTCTCTTTTTCTCTCTCTCTCTCTCTCTCTCTCTCTCTCTCTCTCTCTCTCTCTCTCTCTCTCTCTCTCTCTCTCTCTCTCTCTCTCTCCCTTTATTCTCTCACTTTCTTTCCGTGTCTTTCAGTATCTCATTCTTGTAAACAAAATGATCCACGTGCAAATAGTTTACATATTTACAAGAATTTTTGTTTTTACTAAATTTACGAAGTTTGGCAACGTTGGTAATTTACATTTTGGGGAAAAACTGTAAAATTGGTTCCGGTGAAATGTGGACATACCTGTACCTGGTTTAGATAAGAGGAAGAGGAGGAAGAGGGGGAGGAAGAGGAAGAGGAGGAAGAGGGGGAGGAAGAGGAAGAGGAGGAAGAAGGAATATTTACAGAAAGGTGATGGAGAATTGGTTATAATATATTAATTAGTCAACCCATACACACACACACACACACACACACACCAAACACACGCACACACACACACACACACACGCAAACACACACACACACGCACACACACACACACGCAAACACACACCTCTACTGGCCAGGGTAATTTCTCCTCAAGGCATCTTCAGGTGACGGCCAGGTAAAAGAGGCCTTGATTACTTGCAACTCACCTGGAGGAATGGAGAGAGGGGGCCTTACCATGTTTTATTTCCACCTTCTCCCTCCTTTTCTCCTCACTCCCCATCTCTCCCTCACTCCCCATCTCTCCATCCTCCCCATCTCTCCATCACTCCCCCATCTCTCCCTCCTCCTCATCTCTCCCTCATATCTCTCCTCACTCCTCATCTCTCCTCACTCATCTCCTCACTCCCCATCTCTCTCACTCTCCCCATCTCTGCCTCCTCATCTCTCCTGCTCCCCATCTCTCCCTCACTCCCCATCTCTCCCCTCCACTCCCCATCTCTCCTCACTCCTCATCTCTCCTCACTCCCCCATCTCTCCTCACTCCCCATCTCCATCACTCCCCCATCTCTCCCTCTCCCTCACTCCCCATCTCTCCCTCCTCCCCATCTCTCCTCCTATCTCCCTCACTTCTTTCTTCATCTCCCTCAGTCACCTCTTTGTCCTCCTCTTTTCATCATTCCTCTCTTTCTCTTCCTCATTTTTTCTCCTCCTCCTCCTCCTCCATCCTCTCCCCATCACCCCTTCTCTCCCCACCCTACTTCCCCAATGTCTTCCCATCCTCCCCTTCAAGCGTCTCTTTCACCCCCAAGTAGTTAACACCCCAAATAGGGAAGTTAACAAGCCAGCGACGTGCGCCATTAAATCTCGTTGGGT